GTTCATGAGGTTGGATGTTTCTGAGCCCAGCCGTGTGTTAGCTTGCACAGTCACTCGTTCTTCCTTATTGGAGCGTATCCGAGATCGGCAGTATGATGATCTTCATTTGTGTGTCCTTAGAGACACAGTACAACATGGAGGTGCCAAGTATGTTACCTTAGGAGATAATGGAGTTTTGAGATTGCAGGGTCGAGTTTGTGTGCCAAATATGGATGAGCTCCGAGAGTTGATTTTAGAGGAGGCCCATAGTTCCTGGATAATATGGTTACCCATATTATCCGCCGGTTAACCCTTTTTTATCCGTATTAAATATGGGTCGGGTCGGATAATTTATCCGTTTTTCCATTACCCGTTTTCGACCCGAACCATATCCGACCCGACCAACCTGTTTGACACTCCTAGTTGTGGGTAATATCTTCAACTTTTATATACTTCCGGGGTCAATATGCAATTTAGTCGAAACAGCAAACTGCGTTTAACTCTCTAATGTCCATTTGACGAGGAAATGATCAAAATGGTCCTCAATGTATAGGGGTTGGATTATTTTGGTCCTTATTATATATCAAGTGATAGTAATAGTCCTTAATGTATACAAAAAGTGTATGGTTTTAGAGGTCGTTTGGTAGAGTGTGTTAGAGAAAATAATGCATGCATTAGCTTTGTGTATTAGTAATGCTTTGTTTGGTACACTTTATCAACCTATGATAACTAATACAAGCATTAGTTATACACTCAATTTGGTATTATCCTATGTATAGCTAATGCATAGAAAACCATGACATTAGCTATACAAAGGCTATTAATGCATGCATTAGCATGATTAAAGACAAAATTATTCTTAAAGTCCCTTAAGTTAAAGAATATGGAGGCCATTTTTGTAAACAATTAAATTTCTTAAAAATTATGCAATGCATTTTAATTTTTAATACACCACACCAAACAATGCATAAGATATAATCTTTGTATAACTAATGCTTGCATAACTAACCCATGCATTACTAATGCACCTTATTTAGTATTATTCTTATACGCCCTACCAAACGACCCCTTAGTGTCACCCCTAAAAACTAACGGTACAAAGCAAATATACTGTTAAACTTAACGAGGTTCTGGACCCATCAAGAGAAAATTCTAACAGACCCCTCTTCTTCTCTCTTTCAGTATAACTAATACTTGCATTACTAATCCCTACATTATTAATATACCTTATTTAGCATTATTCTTATACGCTACCAAACGACCCCTTAGTGTCAACCCTAAAAACTAACGGTACAAAGCAAATATACTGTTAAACTTAACGAAGTTCTGGACCCATCAAGAGAAAATTCTAACAGAGTATACCCCTCTTCTTCTCTCTTTCAGTATACACAAAACTTTGAAAACATTCCAACTAGCGTAGAAAGCAAATTAGATCAAAGTGAATCGTCTTAGTACTCCTGTTGGTGTGCTCTCATCACTTCCTTCAAAAACCCCTTTCTTCTCCCATCAATTCGTACCATACAAATCCAATTTTTTATTTCTACATGCATTGCAAATTATAAGAAAGAGCGAGCTCCCTGTAAAGAAGAGGCACCAGAGCCATCAACGATCTCATCGTGGTTCATTTAGTTGAAAATGTTACTGTCCATGAACTCTCAGCAGACTCTTCTAGGGTCCAAACTCACCTCAAAATCAAACCTTATGTTCATATTTCTGTCAAAGTCTATCTATTTTTATACTAATAAATTGCTGAAGAGAACAAATCCCTCTTGAAACTCCTTCGTAGCTACAAAGAAAATAAAGCAACATCTAATTTTGACATGAACCAATTATTGATTTCCAGTAAGAAAGCGAATGAAAGTGCCGAGCCCATATTGGGTCGCAAAATACGGAGAAATTTCAGTAAAGCACTTGACACTGAGTCAACTCGATTGTGGAATGGATAAGTGATCGGTTTCTATGCTGATGAACTTTAACTAGGTTTTAGACAAGAGAAGAGAAACTCGGATAATACTCACCCCGACAAGCTAGTCCGGGGGCGGGGCGGGGGGNNNNGGGAGGGGAGGGGGAGAGGGGACAAGAGGGGTTAGATGATTATCAAATTTGATTCGTTTCAGAAAAAACAGTGAAAGAAAGAAGCAGAGGAGAGGAGTCTGCTTTTCTTTTAAGTGATTCAAGTTAAGTTTAACAATATATTTGCTTTGTACCGTTAGTTTTAAGGGATGGGACTAAAACCATACACTTTTTATATACTTTAAGGACTATTACTTTCACTTGACATATAATAAGGAGCAAAATAATCCAGCCCCTATACATTAGGGACCATTTTGATCATTTCCTCTCCATTTGACTGGTTTGTGAAAAGGGCTTCTTCTTCTTCTTCCTTTTTTTCTTTGAACTAATAGGGGCTTCGTTTTGAATTCTTTCAAATTTGTGTAATATAGAGCTTTCAAAGAGAAGAAAAAAGATCCAATTTTATCTGGTATATGCAGAAAAGATTCAATTTTTATATTTCACACCGAAAAGGTTAAATTTTTACCTGTTATATGCAGAAAAGATTAAATTTTTACCTGTTATATGCAGAAAAGATTCAATTTTTACCTGTTATATGCAGAAAAGATTCGTCTATGCCACGTGGGGTTTTCAGAATGAGGTTGAACTGTTTCAGTGATAGTAAATTCTTCAGTTCCTCAACCCCTTTGGCTCCTATTCCCCTCCCTTCTCCAAAGTATGATTTAGTTCTTTTTTTTTTAAATATTGAAATTTTATATTGTTTTTAATGGGTTTTGCTTAATGCTTTTGAATTTTAGGGAGACACATCTTTGGTATGTAATACCAAATGAAGTGAAGGGTGAGTCTCTTTTGAACAAATATATGGAAATTTTATCACCATGTGAGAAAGAAAATGTGTTTAGTATGCGTGGAGATGAGCAGAGAAAAAGTGCTTTACTTGCCCGTACGTTGGTTAGAACCACCATTGCAAGATGTAAGAGGCAATGTTGAATTTATATGTATTATTTGTTTGTCATTTGCATTTTTCTTAAGAAAACTTGATTTCATGGAAGATGAGTTAGAATAAAATTTTAGGAAAAAAATGTTATATAAATGCAATTATTTATTCCATTGGTTCTTGAGCTGAGGGTCTATTGGAAACAGCTTTTCTACCTTCACTGAGTAGGGTAAGGTCTGCGTACACACTACCCTACCCAGACCCCATATGTGGGAATGTACTGGGTATGTTGTTGTTGTATTGGTTCTTGAGCCGAGGGTCTATCGAAAACGGCCTCTCTAGCTTCATAAGATAGGGGTAAGGTCTGCGTACGCATTGCCCTCCCCAAACTCCACTTGTGGAATTCCACTGGGTTTTTGGTGTTATTTGTTCCATTGCACAGTGATTTCATATGTTAGAAGCTTATTAGATGTTAATCAAGAATTGGAAAATGACCTGAGGATATGATACTGTCTTTTCTAATTGTTTCATTTCAGATTCAGCAATGTAATAGGTTATGTTATCATTATCATTACTGTGTTTGTGTGTTTGTATAACTTTTCAGTTGTCCATAATTAATTTGCTTTATGTGACATGCCATAGTAGTTGAAGAGAATTATAAGTTGTTTATAGCTCTGAAAGCGTTGGTTTTCCCTAGATCAGATAAATTCTTCGATCCAACCCATATCCCTCAAGTTTAGGAAGAGCATTCATGGGAAGCCTGAGGTTAGTGTGATTTGAGCGTTCAGTAGTTTTCCAGTTGTATGCTCGTATTTTCTCTTTATGTCGTATTTATGTGCCATTAACTTTATCTGGTTATGCCTATAGGTAGATTGGCAACACTGTGATCATTGTGAGCCTTCTCCTTTGCATTTCAACATCTCACATACATCATCTCTGATAGCTTGTGGCGTTACAATGAATTCTCCTGTAAATATTCTGGTCCCTCAAGTCAGTGTATACATACATTCAGCTGCATGGAAAATCACTTATAGTTTCATTAATAGATTGGCATCGACGTGGAAGCAAAGCAAAGGACAGTAAAGCACAATGTTTTGACTTTAGCTAGAAGATACTTCTCTGAACCTGAACTTCAAGTGTTGGCTGCTATTAAGGATCCCCATCTTCAACATCAGGAGTTTATCAAATTATGGACACTAAAGGTTAGTCTATTTGCTCAACAACAACACAACCCAGTAAAATCCCACTAGTGGGGTCTGGAGAGGGTAGAGTGTACGCAGACTTTACCCCTACCCCGTAAGGGTAGAGAGGCTGTTTCCGGTAGAGAGGTTAGTCTATTTGATTTCATGATTATTTTCTTAGTTTCTTTTACTGATGAGAATGTTTACTCAGCTCTATTTAACAAATTACTCCAATTGAAAATCTTAAAGAGTACCAATTCTTAGTCATTTTCATGGTTCGAAGGGATGTCTTGCTTCAGTCACGCAGTTTATGTGCCGCTTCATTTGTCTCCTGTATTAAAAAGGAGGTCATTCATTCATCTTTAGATGCTTCCAGTTCTTCCGGTTCTGTTTCACTAGACATTCTGCCCTTCATTTTTCTTGTTTGCTTCCTTTGGAAACATAGTCTTACAAGCTGTACTATTTTCTAGAAATTGAGTATATTTTCAGTCTTTTAGCAGTATAAAGCAAGTGAATGTTGTCTTAATGTCATGCACTTCTCTTACGCATATTTACCATTTTAAAAATGCAAACCGGGCATGGAGAGAAAGGATTGGGCAATTCCGCCGGTTCTGGAGCTTATCTTATTATTAAGGTGAAAGCAAAGGATTAGATTTTTCAGAATAGGGCATTTTATTTGCATTTTGCTTTGTGAACCCCTCCTATAGTAAGACTGGAAATAATAACCAGAACGACTGAGTTGGAGGAGCATATGTTAGAGCTCCCCTCACGTACAATGAAAATAGAAGATATTGATGTCTCACATTGGCAAAGAGGCTCTGAGTGATGAATGGAATAGAATAACCTTTTTTGTGGTAGAGTTCCACTAATTTACCAAGGGAAAGGGTTAACTTCTAAGGGCTAAAGAAGATTTATGTGAGTTTCTAGAAGGCATAAATTAACTTTCTCACTTGTGGGATTACACTGGGTTGTTGTTGTTGTTGTTGTTGTTGTTGGGATAGAATTGCAGCATTTAAGAAAACAAAGGGTTTATTTTAAGGAGTTTGCTTTCTCCATCTATTCTGGTTTATTTAGCAGTAACTTGTTGAGTTGTCGAGGAGGTTGTTTGTGAACCTGCAGTTCAGGTTCATTTTCCCTTGAAACTGTGCGGATTATATCAAAAGAGTAGCTTACACAAAAGAAATAACATGATTGTTGGTTTCTTGAAATTGAAACAAGCAGGTGGCTGGACAAGCAAGAGGAGGAGAAATAACAATTTTGTCATTAAATACCAACAATGAGTTAAAGGACTTTCAGGAAATTACTTATTATGTAAAAGGCTCTGTAGTTCATACAGAAGTCCCTCTGGAACATACATCCTATGTACTTCACCAATATTAGCTGGCTGCCTATGGACATCACTTAGGCCCACTACGTCAGTGCTTTGGTAATGTATAAAAAGTAGTAAAGCACAACCAAAAGTTAGCAGCGGCATACTATTTTTACAGAATAGAAAGAACCCCAGAAGTGCCAGATTCTTCATTGCTAGCTTTTAAGAATGTATTCACTTGCGGTCTATCTTGCTTGGATGTTGGCTTATGACTTCCAGGTGCATTTGTAGGAAGCAAGCATCAAGGTCAAACTGCCTCATCAATACACATATATGTTAAGGTTATGCTACAGCTAGCAAGGTTGTCTAGAGAAGGCTTTTATACCTTTTAACCTTCTATCTGCTTGAAAAATGTGTTATCTTTATTGATTGTATGATAGGTCGAAAGCAAAGGATCAAAGTTTTCTTGTTAGTATCTATTAAATTGAGCCTCTAAAAAAACAGATTGCTTGCAGGAGGCATATGTGAAAGCACTGGGGAGAGGTTTCTCTGGTGCACCTTTCAAGACGTTTACAGTTCGTTTTGGGAGTGGTATTGGAGAAAGCCCTCACCTCTCTCGATATTCAAATACTGAGGTATGACACAGTTACTTTTGAACAAGTTCGATAACTTTTTCAAATGAGCTTTCCTTAATCCAAAATAAATAAACTATCTCGAATGGGCTTACATTTGAACTGAAAAAGACAGAAATGTTATTGTTAAATGGCAATGGGTTAATTTGTACATACATACATAACTCTCTCTTGGTGTGCTATTAATAAGACATTATTGACTTGGAAAAAGAATGTCAAATGGTGATGTGTCGTAAAGGTGATTTGTAGGTTTAGCTAAGTTTTTCAAATTCAGCAAAAACAAGGTCATGCTAACAGAATCACGTGTAACATTAGCCAATACTTGAGCTCCTGAAACAGCCAGAGCGAGTGCCCGACAGGACACTTTCCCAATTTGCAATCTTTTTCCTGAATATTTTAACCACAATTCTGTTGCTTTCCCAATCTAATAATAGCTTCGTTCAAATAGAATATATATGTACCTCTGAGTTTGAGAGAATGCTTTTATTGATAAACATACTTTATTTCAGGCATCTGAAATATCAGTGGATATGTTTGACGATCCCAGTGATCTAACAAGCAATTGGCAGTTTATGCTCCTGGAGTTGGCCGGTTCACATTATGCTGCCATTTGCACAGAAAAGGATGTCACAAGTGAAGGTTAGCAAGTTATATATTACCTTTATGAAGTATAGAATTATAACAAAGAAGAACCCTTAACATGTTGAATTTTTAGGTAATAAGAGTGGTCCTATGAAGTTAACAGTCAGAAAGACGATTCCATTTGTTGAAGACGAGTGTGTTTCTGGAACAGAGGCAGTTCGTGTACTTTGTGGCTTTTAGATAATACATACTACATACCCCTTTCTCTGTTGAAAAGTTCCATCGATGCACTGGATGTCTATATATTGGATACAACATGGAAAAAATTGAATCTTCACCATGTTTGCCAACTTGGTCATTCTGTCTTCTTTTGTGGGTAGCAGTCTTTGTGTTATGACATGTCCACTGCATATTGGCACTAACATTCTTTCAGTTAGTATTTGTTGAAAGCAATGTGATCGTGCCATCTGAAATTGGTATTTTTTTCTTAGTAATAAAGGTTGTGTCAGGTCTAGTTTACTCGCAAATCAACTAATTCACTGCTTATCTGTCACCTCTCATCAGTATAAGTACCGAGTAACTCTATCTACAAGGCTAAAGTAAATGGGAAGAAAATCACATGACATTTTTTTGCCTTTGCTGTGATTTGAAACCTGGTCTTCCATGGTCCATTCAAACTTCATTGATTGCTAGGCTAGGTTCTAGGGATGGATGGCGTGGTGACAGTGACGTGGGCATAGCCGTTGCAACCTATACTAGCTGATAATCAGCACTAGCAACAGTGTTAAACACACTACTTAAATATATCCTTAGCAAATTTAGTTATCTTACATATATATTGCTGCTATTGCCTGTACTGAAGATATATCTCACCGTTGAGTTAATCTGCTGCTGTTTAAAATTACTGTTGTTATATGGCAGTATACCTCCCTAATGTACGTAAACTTTTGTCCATTTACTTTTTTCTCCCCCTTCAAACATCTAACCAGGCTTCAAGTACATGTATATATAATTATAGGAGTTAATATTCTTGACATTAGAAGCAAATGATGAAGGGGAGCCTTGGCGCAACTGGTTAAGTTGCTGTATGTGATTAGGAGGTCATACGTTCAAGCCGTGGAAAGTGGAAACTACCTCTTGTAGAAATACAGGATAAGACTGCGTCTAATAGACCCTTGTGGTCCGGTCCTTCCCCGGACCCGGTACATAGCGGGAGTTTAGTGTATCGGGCTGTCCTTTTTAGAAGCAAATGGAAAAGCAAGCAACCATGTATGTGGCAGTGTTTTTCTAATGAGGTGTTTGACCAAGAAGTAGATTCATATGATTATGCTCGCAAATTCGCAATATTACTGCTAACTGCTCAAAAACTTGGGGATTATCTTATAGCTTGTTTAGCCGTACTTCTTTTCGGCAAAATTGCTTCATTTTTGGCCAAAAGTATTTTTTTTCTCCTAAAGTTAAGGTGTATGGCCAAGTGTTTAGAAGGAAAAAAAGTGCTTTTGAATAGAAGCAGAAGCAGTTTTTGAGAAGTAAAAAGTAGTAGCTTCTTTCCAAAACTACTTTTAAAAAAAGCATTTTTGAGAAAGTTAAAAGCTTGGTCAAACACTAATTGCTGTTTAAAGAACTTTTTATATTGATTAGCCAAACACAAACTGCTTCTTACCGAAAGTACTTTTAAAAATAATTTTGAGAAAAATACTTGTCAAACTAAATTTTAGAAGGGCCAAACATGCTATTAGTGATATTAAGCATTGAGGAGATGTTTTTTTTTT